CTCCCCCCTCCCGGGCCCAGGCGGCGCAGCGGGGGCTCGGGCCGGCGAGGCGGGGGGGTCGGGCGGCTGCGCGGCCCCCGGGCGCAGCGGGGGCTCGGGCTGGGAGGGGCCCGCGGGGGAGGCCGGGCCGGGCGGAGCGGGGCCTGGCGAGAAGAGCCCCCCCCCGGTCGTTACCATCAGCCCCCGCTTCCCCCCTTAGGAGCCCGGCGCTGATCGGCGGCGGCGGAGCGGGAGCGGCCCCGGCGATGGATTTCTCCAAGTTCCTGGCCGAGGACTTCGAGGTGAAGCGCTGGGTGAACGGAGCCTTCCGCGCCGTGCAGCAGCAGGATGCGCCCGGCAAGGTGGACGCTCACGCCGCTACCTTGGTGATGAAGTTGCAGCTCTTCATCCAGGAGGTCAACAACGCCGTGGAAGGTGCCGCTGCGGGTCCTTGCGCTCGGCCGGGTGGGGAGGGGGCAGCGCTCGCTGCAGCCAGGGCGGGTGCGAGCTTCCTCCAGCGACACCGCCCAGCCGAGGGGAGGCGTTGGGACTTTCCCCACCCTTGTTCTTTTCCTTTAAGAACATTGATTCATGGAAACCCTAATTGCTTGTGAGGCGGGGTCAGTTTTGACCCATCTCCCGATTTGAAAACGGTAAATGTATTTGTTGAAATCGTTGAAGCATCCCATGTTGATATTTTGGAAACAAAACGTTTTGTTTTTAATTTTGAAACAACTTTTCATTTTAAAATGGTAATTTATGCTACCAAAAAATTCTTTAAAAAACAAAACAAAATGTTTAAAACAAATACAAGGAAGTTCTTCACGCAGCGCACAGTCAACCTGTGGAACTCCTTGCCCGAGTAGGTTGTGAAGGCTAGGACTATAACAGGGCTTAAAAGAACCTCCATGAATTTATCCAGTTCTAAGTTCATTAATGGCTACTAGTCAGAATGGGTAAGGAATGGTGTCCCTAGCCTCTGTTTGTCAGAGGATGGAGATGGATGGCAGGAGAGAGATCACTTGATCATTACCTGTTAGGTTCACTCCCTCTGGGGCACCTGGGATTGGCCGCTGTCAGAGGACAGGAAACTGGGCTGAATGGACCTTTGGTCTGACCCAGTACAGCCGTTCTTATGTTCTTAAAAAAAAGTCAATATTGAAATGAAATGTTTCAGTTGACCTGACCCCTTTTTGTGTGTTTTGGGTTTTTTTAGATCGGGGTAGGCAACCTATGGCATGCGAGCTGATTTTTCAGTGGCACTCACACTGCCTGGGTTCTGGCCACCGGTCTGGGGGACTCTGCATTTTAATTTAATTTTAAATGAAGCTTCTTAAACATTTTAAAAACCTTATTTACTTTACATACAACAATAGTTCAGTTATATATTATAAACTTATATAAAAAGACCTTCTAAAAACGTTAAAATGTATTACTGGCACACAAAACCTTAAATTAGAGTGAATAAATGAAGACTTGGCACACCACTTCTGAAAGGTTGCCGACCACTGTTTTAGACTATTAGTTTGAGGATTTTGACTTTTTGTGCTGATTTGGAATAGGGAAAAAAATTGAAATTTTGAAAACTCTTGCAGGACGAGAGAATCTTTTCCTGCCCATGTCTGTCCTGACCTGTAGCGTCTTCTGGTATTCCAGCCCAATTGTTCTTCCCTCTTCTGCTGTCCTACCAATCCCCCTGCCAGCATTGCTTTACATGCTTTGTCTTAGTATTATTTATATACACTGATAGGCACTTACCAAATGCTCAGAGGATTGTCCCTAATATGCAGCATGCCCTGCTATTCCAGATCTGGAAGATCTTTTTAAATATACAGTAGAACCTCAGAGATACGAACTGACCAGTCCACCACACGTCTCATTTGCAACCAAAAGTACACAATTAGGCAGCAGCAGAGAGACACCCCTCCTTCCCCCCTCCCCCCCCCCCAAAAAAACACAACCAAAAAGCAAGAGCTAGTACAGTATTGTGTTAAATGTAAACTGCTAAAAAAGAAGAGAGCAGCTTTTTTCTTCTGCATAGTAAAGTTTGAAAGCTGTCTTAAGTCAATGTTCAGTTGTAAACTTTTGAAAGAACAACCGTAACGCTTTGTTCCGAGTTATGAACATTTCAGAGTTACGAACAGCCTCCATTCCCAAGATGTTTGTAACTCTTGAGATTCTGCTGTAGCTTCAATGCAGCAATGAAGATTTGTTGTACACCATGCTCCTTGGGAAGTTTGTTCTGTGTGAGGGTTGAGTCCCTTGTCATTCCATTGCTGTTTGTTTCTGCAGAAACAAGCCACCAGGCGCTCCAGAACATGCCCAGAGTCCTTCGGGATGTGGAAGCCTTGAAACAGGAGGCAACTTTCCTGAAGGAACAAATGATCCTTGTTAAGGAGGACATTAAGAAATTTGAAGAGGACACAGCTCAGTCAATGCAGGTAACTTCTCTCCTCACTAAATATTTGCCTGTGATTTCCAGATTTGCTGTAGCTGCCAAAGTTACTGAAGGTGCCACAAGTACTCCTGTTCTTTTTGAAGACTCTGTTTTGGTTTGTGCAATTCCAGGGGGGCGCTGTTAGCTCTCTGCAGCAGTTTGAGCTCTGGTAGATGCTGACAAATAAGGGAGACTGATTTCCTGCTCTGATATTGTGTCCTTTTTAAATTGCCACGGTCATCCTGTTGCACTTCAGCAAGTTCTGAGGCTGAGATCCTAGATGCAAGGAATCTCTATGCTTTTTTCAAGCAGAACAGTCACTAAAAACTCCTACAATCTGGTAGCTTCTCTGAACTACAGACTGATTGTACTAGGCTTCAGCAATTTGATACCCTGTCGGCTGCTTCAGATTTTTCGTACTTTTGTGAAGAAGTAAAAAAGTTCTGGAGATATTGACTTTTTCTTATTGTGAATGAATGATAGTGCTTATTAAATTGAAGAACTAATAGAAGTGTCTAAAGCGGGATGTAGCATGGGCAGACGCAATGCAAATGTCCCTGCAGATTGTGCCTTGGTTCTGGGCTGCAGCACCCCTGATATTCCAGTCCAAAGCCTCTCTTAAGCAGAGAGTGATGCCGTATGGTGGTTTTGTGTGGGGACAGATGGGAGACTAGGTTGACATCCCCAAAAGCATTTTCCTTATTAACTCAGCCATGCACTGTGTACTCAGAAGTGAAAAGCTAATGTAGTACCCACCTTACCACCAAGACATAGATGTTAGCAACCCAGACTAGAACTAGCTCTGATCAGACCTTCATGAGCTTATAACTCTCCTCATGTGAGTGATCCATCTTTCATGACACGCAGCAAGCTGCGGAAGCCTTTATTGTCTGAGCTTATTGGTGGTGGTGTTGTATTAATACCATGTTATAGAGTTGCTTTGCATTTTTCCAGACGAAATGGACGCTGATTATATTGAATCCCAAATTCAAACCAGTTTATAGGTGTGCTTGTTTTCTTGTGATGATTCAGGAGTGAGCTGCTCAAGCAGAGGAGCTGATGGTTTATCCACAGTACTGCAGATCTTTGGTGAACTGTTTTGCAACTTGTTTCTGCAGTTTTAGCTGCCATCAGAGCCCAGCCCCTTTTCCCTCGGATCACATATCCATATTACTGTTTAGAGCTGGGTGTAGACCCTGAATAAAAGCAACATTCCTCATTATGTTCTCAAATCTCTACTGATGATGCTCATCAGCTGGTTCAATTTTAAAATTGATTTTAATATCGTCAGCTCCTCGGAGAGATGATCCACTTCTGTGTAAATCCCTAACATTGATTTTAGCCAACGTCCTCCTGAAATTGCTATTACCCAGTTTCTTAAACTCAAATATAACAGAAATAACCTTCCCCCCCCCCACCTTACTCCCCACCAAATCAAGCAGCTTCCACATTTGTCCCCAATTCTGATGGGCAGCAGTTCCATCTCTGTTTCAGGTCCTGGTAGAGCTTGATCGAGTGAAATCCAGAATGCAGCTGGCTGCTGAGTCCCTCCAGGAAGCAGACAAGTGGAGCACACTGAGTGCAGATATTGAGGAAACTTTTAAAACACAAGTAGGTACCTGCTTGAAAAAGACAAAGGCATGAAAATTGTCAATCATAAAGAAACCTAATTTTAAAAAAAGTCCTTTCAAGTCACCTTTCAAATGGAAATATGCCTCTGCTTCCCAGATGTCGCTGTGGAACTTAGGACTTGGCATTTTTGATATTGTGTTAACAATCCTCTAACTTCCTTTGGTGGCAGGATGTGTCAGTGATCTCTGCCAAGTTAACAGGCATGCAGAACAGCCTAGCGATGCTTGTGGACACTCCGGACTACTCTGAGAAATGCGTGCACCTAGAGGCTCTGAAGAACCGGCTAGAGGCCATGGCCAGCCCCCAGATTGTGGCCACTTTCAACGCTCAGTCTGTAGGTCAGTACGGCTCTGTTTCCCTTGTCTTCAGCGTAGATGTATTTATATGTAGGTGTTGCCTTCATCAGGAGCATGAGTCATGGTGCTCTCAATAGCATGCTTCCAGCCCCCCAGCTGCGGTTTGGTGCTCCTTCTGCCAAGCCTTGTACACCTCCCACCGTCTCCTATTCAATTTGTCCTTTCTTCATTTCTGTCTTTTTTTTTCTTTTTTGCTTTGTTTGTTTGTTTTGGGGTTTGCGCACCAGAAAGCTAAATGCTGCCTGGGTTGGGAGTGTATCCATTGGGTCTCTTTGGGGCTGGCTTACGTGCCCTTTCTTGGCAGAACCAAACAAAAAGAGATGCATGGCACAGCAGCCTGCAGCCCAGTACGTGTTGGACTCTCCCATAGTCTGCAGCCTTCTTTCCACCCCTGGATTTGATCCAGGTTGGGGAATGTTTCTTGAGTGTGTTTAAGATCCCTGTAGCTGCTATGTCAAAGAGCTGCTGAGCATATGTAGCGTAGCTTGATCTTGTAATCAGTGGATAACTTCATTGGGAAATGCTATGACTCTTTAGTGCCTTGTAAAAGGTGCATTCGAAACAAGGGAGAAAGTTATAAAATGGTTTGGGTTTTTTGGTCTGGCCTTGCTCCCTTTCCCCACCCTTACACTGTCCGTTTCTTATTTGTATTTCAGTAGCACCTAGAGCAGAGGTTCTCAAACGTTTGTACTGGTGACCCCTTTCACATAGCAAGCCTCTGAGTGTGATGCTCCCCCCCTTAAATTAAAAACACTTTTAAATATATTTAACACCATTATAAATGCTGGCAGCAAAGCGGGGTTTGGTGGAGGCTGACAGCTCACGACCCCCCCATGTAATAACCTTGCGACCCCCTGAGAGATCCTGACCCCCAGTTTGAGAACCCCTGACCTAGAGGCCTCCATAATGATCATGCTATTGTGCTGCACAAACACAGACTGAGACAGTCCATGCCCCAATGAGCTTATTTTCTACTTGAAGACAAGATGCAGAGTGAGACAAGCAGAGGGAGGAAGGAAAAGGTTAATATGAAGGGTTCATGTGCTTGTGTTCTTTTTCACACTCTTCCTCCTTTACTCCTCTCTTCTTTGCTTTTCTCTTCCCATTTCCCGTCACTTTCTTTCTGGTCTTCCAGTCCATCACACTGGCTCTGTTTCCTTAGGTTCTGCACCCATCTGTCTCAGTATATGTGTCTGTCTTGTTGCTGCTCTTGGGCTGTATGGCCCTTTTGCAGGCAGATGCAGGAGACACAGTGATGTTTGAGAATGTTTTCTCCCACCTACAAGGAGAGAGCCTCATAGAAGCTGCATGATATTAATGTGTCCCATATGAGTTCTTTAGATATGTCATGTAGCTGTGGTAGGAAACTGACAGCAGGTGGCGCTTCTGTATTGGCAATGGGTCCATTGCTTGGCTTAGGTATTCAAGAGGTTCTGGCTCACTTTGAGATAAGTGCAGCCCTGAGTCTATTACCCTTTTAATATTTCCTCCGGAGCAGCTGGCAAACATACATTTCCTTTCTGTTGATAGTATTTCACATGTTCTTCTGAGTTCTTCAAGAGATCTTTCTTAGATCTGACCCTGTAGATAGGAACACAGGACAACAAATGTGTCCTTTGGGGCGGGGGGAGGTGCTGTTCTCTCCTTTGTACTGCTCTAGAGCAACCCTAGTTACTTGCTGTGTGTCAGATTTACAGGAAGCCACCTGGGCCCTTCCAGCAAACCAGAAACAAGTTCCTAAATACGTCATTACTAACATCTCTGAACCCAAGTGTGTTTTGTAGACAAAGCCGTCCCCACTGTTCCGGTAATGCAAAGGGAGCAGGGAGACTTTCAGGCTTTGAGTAAATGGTAGCTGGGTCATTTAGTCAAGGTGAAGAGACAGCTAGTTGTGGTCCTAGCACCCGGGGGTGAGGAAGGTAAAACTGAGGAGTACAGTTCGGTTCTACTGACACGTGCTCTGGTCTGGAGGGCACTAGCCCTGTCTGTCTGAAAAAAGCATCTAGTCTTTTTGGGACTCAGTACTGTTACAGGGGGCCTGGAGTTAGAAATGTTTTCCCAAGGGAAGTTTAAAAACTCTTCCATCATCACTTTACTCTACCACTCTGGAATTTCTGTGGCTATGGATTCAGAGGCAGCTGCCCTAGGTGAAGGGAAAGGAACACAGGGAGGCGTTGTCACTTTCTTCACGTATTGTGGTGCTCCATCCCACACACTGTATCCAGGCTCTTCTCCAAACTGAAGAGGGTGGATTTTCCTGCTTAGTCCAGAAGACTTGTTTTGCTCAGGGCAGTACCTCTGTCATACAAGTTAGGAGGGTGACCTGTTAACTAATGTTCTGTGTTGTTGTATTTAGACCAGGCAAAAGTGTTTGTGAAAGTCTTCACTGAAATTGATCGGATGCCCCAACTCCTGGCTTATTACTACAAATGTCACAAGGTATCTAGTCTCTGTCATGGTCACATTTTAATTTGGGGGAGTGAAATGTGAAGTAGTTCCTTGGTTTAGCCTGTAGGGGGGGCTGCCACTCTGGTCATCTCACTTGTCCAATTTAAACTGAGGATGACGCCTGTTCTCTTCCACATTTCATCCACCTGAATCTTTTCCTGGCTGTGATTACTCCACACGAGGGGGTTTGGGGAATAACTCTCCAAAGGAGTCTTCTTGTGCCTTCCTACAGCAGCTAGTAGGCCAAATGAAAAATGTACTTGTGCATCCCTCTGTGCCCTGAAAAGGTGTTTAGTGGTTGCTTTTTCCTCCTTTTATGATTTCTGGTTGTTATAAACTTTATTGTAATTTGCTGCTGCTGAATTATGGAAACTCTCTTCAGATGGGATTGGAATTCTGGATGGTTCATTGACCTTAACCTGATCCTCCAAAGCCCTATTATCAGTGGGCCTTGTGCGGATTAGCTTCAGGGCTGGGGCCTGCCAAATATTTCAACTGTTATGGGGTGGTATTGGTTTCAGTCTCATTTATGAGCAAAATACCAAGGTTAATTAAATCTTTGGATAAGCCAAGAAGCCTTTAGCTTCACGTTTTAAAGTCTGAGCCCTCTTGGGTGCTGAATGATCGCAGGGTGGTGCGTTCAAATCTGAGGGATGCTGCCTTTGAGGAAAAGCAGTTTCCCTAGGACATGTCTCTGTTTGAGTTAACAAGGCCCAGTTCTGTAGCGTGAGTGACTTTTATTACCCCTGCAGGTGCAGCTGGTGACAGTCTGGCAGGATCTTTGCCAAAGCGACTTAAGTTTAAATCGGCAGCTGACTGAACTGTATGATACTCTGCTTGGAACATGGCACTCACAACTCCAGTGGGTCATGCAGGTACTGTTACTATCAGTTAACCACATCAGTGCAATGCCTGGGAACGCAGACTGCAAATTCCCATAAGGCTCAGAATAACTGATCAGCTCACAGACTCATTTTTGTGCCTCTTCACTAAAGTCTTGGAGCTTGCTTTGAGGATCTAGCTCCTCTGCTGCCACAGAAAGATTAAATGTTTGACTCAAGACCAGTGGCAGTATCTCTGCATTGCTGCTGTTAAAGCTGCTCTATCTCTTTCATCGGTATCGTACATGAAATCTAATTTGTCAGTGTTGCATTTTGTTCTGTTGCAAAACATTTGAAATACCTGAATTTCAATATCGCCTGACCTAGAGGAGGCCCTGGAGAGATTGCTTGACTGATTTGTGGTGGTTTGTGTGTGACTTCTGGGGGAACTCCTGCTGGAACCCCTCAGGATTGTGCAGTACCAAGAAAAGCATTTGAATTTGTAAATGCAGAGCTTACCATACTTACACCTGACCCCAAAAGGAGTTAGCCTCTCTTCATTTAGCCTAACAAATTATGTTGGACATTGTTGAGTCTGTCAGCGTTTTCACCCGTGAAGGGTAAGGGAGATCGTTATCTTATGCGTATGAAGCCTGTAACATGGGCTGAGGCCTTTCCTGCAAGGATACTCAGCCTTACCTTGAAATAATGTCTTGGGATTTTTTCCTGCATAACAATTAGTTGTGAATCACAGTTCAGATGCTGGCTTATTCACTAGCATGTGCTCTATGACCGGGGTATTGTGAGGGGCCTTGCCATGTGGACCAAAGCTCATGTCACACAGGGCTCTTCTCCCTAGTCCTCCTGCACTGCCTGTGTTAGGAAAACCATTTTTTCTTTCCTGTTCTACTTGCTGATCATGGTTTTACTGCTGCAAGTTGGATACTGGGGTTATATGTTCTGGTACTGCAGTGGTGGGGGCTGTATAAATACCTAGAGAGAATAGCTGACCAGTCAGTCAAAGTGGTGATGATAAAAGCTACCGCAAACAAAGATGAGGGTGATGGATATGAAGGTGAAGCTAGCCTTATGCTGATCTAAGGATAACATTTGCCAGCTGGTTACATTCTCGCTGGGGCTAGAATATAGTGCTTCCCAACTCTCCCCTCGGTCCATCCTGACCAGTCACCTAGCTGCTTATTCATGGGATTCTTTATCCCTTTCCTCATGCCTTTCAAAGGTACCTGTTTAAATTGTGTTTGAAGACACAGCATGCTCTCTACCTTGTTACTCTACTCTGTTGCCCATTATTTGCCTGTCCTCCTTTGGATCCAGCTTCTGCTCAACGTCCTAGATTCTCTGCTGCCTTAGATAAAGCGCTCTCCTTGTCTGGGCTCTTTAAGTGATAATGATCAACTCTGCTTTCATACCATTTAGTCAGCCTCTCCTGCATGCTGAACCAGCAAGGTTCCAGAAATCTTACCTGGCCCTGCTTTTAGTCTGGTAACATTTGTGAGTTTTCAGATGCGCTCCCATTAGTGTTAGTTGGAATTGCACATGCCCAGAGAGGATCCAATGATCTGTCAGTTTCCTGAGTGCAGTGTTCTTGATGTGCCACATAATTTAAATCTCATCTTTAGGGCAGTTTAGTCTCTTCTGCTCTGTGAATTGTTTCTGGGGGCTTCTGCATGGCTTCTGTTGACTAGGTCATTGTGCTGGTGTCCTTGCTAAAGTGGTGGAGCGTGGGGCTCCTCCTGTTCTGGGGCTCAGTTTACACAGAAGCAGTGGGCTGCTTCTGCTAACATGTTCATGCTAACAGCTTTCTTGTTCATGCAGGTTTTTAAGAACCCCCATGAAATTGTGACTGTGCTGCTGATCCAAACATTAGGTGCCTTGGTGCCTTCAATCCCAGTCTGCCTCAGCACCGCAATGGAGAGAGCCAGCCAGGAAACCAAACTACATAAGCTGCTGGAGCTGCATGACACCACAGCCCACTTTGCAAGAGGCTTGGAAGTAGCAATGGTGTCTAACTTAAGTAGGGACGGTTATTTCAAATATTCCCAGACTTTATGGTGTATTTTTGGGTAACCCTCTGTACAGGCTTTGGGTTCTGTGGTTTGTGTTTCGTTTTTCATGTAAGGGATTTGGATTTCATCCGCAGTGTTTGCTGTTTACATAATGTTTGTACTGAACTATATATTTAACGTATCCCAAATCGATTGACACAATCCTGGCTGTGTTTACTGAAGCAGAGCTATTTTGATACTACCTTGTGTAAATAATGCTTAGCACTTCCCTTTTACAGCATTTGTGTGGGTGAATTACAACATCCCTATAAGGCGGATCAGTTTTATCCCTGTCTTATAACTGGAGAAATGGAGTCAGAAGATACTTGACTTGTCTGAGATCACATGGCAATAAAAGCTCAGAGTTCTTGGTTTAGACCGCACCTCTCTTAACAAGTTCTCCTGAGCATTTGCTTTCTCAAACACTGCAAGGGAAAGTTTGCCAAAATGGTTTTCACTGGAATTTTAAAAAATGGTGGAAACCGTTCTGTTGGTCGTAAGTTTTATGGAAACCATGTTTTAACCAAATTAAACTGCTGGGTCAAATGTTGTTATTTCTGACGTGTGCTTTTGTTTAGTGCCTAAAAGTGTGTTGTTCAGAACAAAGTAAAGACCCTCTCCCTGCTCTAAAGCATTTGCAGTTTAATTTTAGATAGAAATCCATGAGTGGTTGATGCAAACCATTGAAGGTAAGGGAGGAAGGAAGGTGAGTTAACAGCAATGAGACCATATGATTATATAGGCTTAGCACAGTTTTAATTTATGAACGTTTATAGTTGTATCTTAATTTGGCACAGTGTCCCTTCAAAGAGAGTGTTCAGGAAATTCGCATGTGAAGGTTGATGGGTTATCTTAAACGCTGCATTTCCTGCCTGTGTTTGCTTTGCATCCTACTCCTCAGTTATTTAAACCCAGTTTTAGTAGATTACATTTAACTGCTGTGCCATTCCAGGAAGTGTGGCTGTTGTTCTGTGCTTGTGTTCTACTTTTCATTGGAAGTCATTGTGCACTCTTAACAAATACTTGCTACACACTGGTCTGGCTTAATTGGGGTAGGTAACAAATACCATAGACACTCTATAGAAAGAATTTGGAGAGAAGAACCCAAAGTCTGTAAGATAAGAGAATAGGAAACCAGTTACTGAACTGTTGAGAGTAAAAGTTGCATTCTTTATTTGCATATTATCCTGCAACAAGGTGGCATGCTCTAAAAGCCACACACACAAGCAGAAGCATCACAGGAATGGGGGAGCTGGGTGACTAAGCAGATTGGCAGTGGGGCATTGGGTCAACTGGTTCACTTTCCGGCCAGGTCGGGAGTGACGGTGGCTGTGTAGTAGTCTACATGAAATGAGTTGGCATTGTTTATTTTAGGTATGGATGAAGACTGTGTAGTTTCCTTTTTGATGGGACGTAAAATGAGACTATGCCTTCTGTAGGCAGGCACCGTTCAGACAGATTCCTTGCTTCATCTCTGATTGTGATAGCTGGCTTGAACTCTTGTGACCCCAGATTGTTCTTGAGCAGCCAGGAATATGGCTTAATAATTTCCTGCTGTGCTTGTTGAAATAGAATACCTGGGGATTGAGGAGCCGATAGTGATGATATTCCCATTTGTTTAAAAAGTCTGCAGCTCCGCTTTAAAGCCGCTAGGCAAAGTCCCAAGGGATATGCGCACATGGTAGTGGCTGTCAATAGGCACAACTCATTGAACGAGCCTAACATGCTGCTTTACGGCCACTTTGTAGCAGTTCGTTTATTTCTTTGTACGCTCACTTCTGATTCTTTGTAGAAGAGCATAACCTGGTAAAAGTGATGGAACTGGTGGAAGTAGTGTATGGGCCGTATAAACCCTACCAGCTGCGGTACGGAGACCTGGAAGAAGAAAATCTCCTCATCCAGATCAGTGCAGTGCCCTTGGTAATGTAATGTATTCTGCTCCATCTGTACAGTAATAGTCAGCAGGTCATTGGAGGCTGATATTTATAAGTAGTTTAAAGGATCTTTGTTAGGGTGGTTGGACCCTAGATTTTGGCTAGCATTTTCCAGTTGCAGTTTCCTTTGATATCTTTCTTTTAATTAAATATGGCTTTTTTCACCTAAGTTATAAAATTAATTCCAGCAGCTTTGTCTGCTCCTGGGCAATCCCCCAGTAACTGGTGCTTCATGCATCTGGTGTAGGGGAAACCTTGGGGATAAGCAGACCACTTCTTGGACACTTAAGCAGACTATTAGAAGCAAGGAAGAAAACCTCTGAGTTTGCCTTGTGTCTTTTAACCTTTTGCATATGTGACCTTCCGTCAGGATGAGTGGAGGGTGGGGTATTGTGTTAGGCGCTGTACAGACTAGAAGATAGTCCCTGCCCCAAATTCTTATGCTGCAAGTGGATATACCAAACCACTGCAGGGAGGATGGCATAACCATGACAAATGGTTACATAGACTAGCAATGTGCATTCCTGCCTCCTCTGTTGCTTTCTTACCGTAGACTGAGTGGGTGGGAGAGGGAATCTCCTGTAGCAGTGTTTCTCAACCTGGGGGTTGCAAGTGCTGGGCCGGCTTTGGGAGGTGGCAACCAGGGCAGTTGCTTGGAGCCCTGTGCCACAGAGGGCCCTGCAAAGCTAAGTTACGTGCTTCTGCCCAGGGCGGTGGGGCTCAGACTCCAGCTTAGGAAGGGGCTCACCTTTTTTTTTTTTTTTTTTTTTTTTTAAAAGTTTAAAGAGTGTCGCCAGCAA